GGGGCTGTTCGACTCCGCCTGTAACTCCAAAGCACAGTAGGAGGACGTCTTGCCCAGTGCAGATCGGCTCTGGGGTATGTCACCGACCAAGCGGCTGGCAGCTGCCACCCGCACAGCAGGCCCTTCTGACTCACTTTTCGCAGTGGTACAGGTCACAGCAGTAGCAGGTGTTGCTCTTCACCTTCAGCTGGCAGTGGCCAGTCAAGGAGTGACAGGTGACCTGCAAGCAGGGAGACCTTTTCAGTTCTCTCGGGATGCTTCCCCCCGAGGGCCCACTGCCTCACCCCTCACCCCCAAGTGTTGAGCAGAGCAGCCCCTGCTGAAGCTGTAAGGAACCCCAGTCTCTCCTCAGGGCTACAGATGGTACTTGGCGCTTCCAATTTCTCCCTTTGGCTCCTGGGTGGAATGAGTTCAGCTATGCAGAGGGGAGTCTGGGCCATCAGCAGTCGTTCGACAATAAGGGGGTGGGGTGGGGGATGTTCTGGTCAGTTGCACCCGCCAGGCAAGGAATCCCTCTTGACCACATGCCAAGGTCAAGCAGACACCGCCTCCTTCTACAGGGAGGTTTCCCCTGCGTTGCCAGCTGTGTTGGCCTTGCAAATGTTGGTGGGCAACCGTTAGCGTTCAAGGAGTGACCACAGGGCATCCACACCCAACCTCTCTCACTCGCCCAGAGCTAATGGTTGTGAGGAGGATGTGCTGGGGACGTTGACAGTACGTGTCCCACACGTTTGTGAAGCAGGCAGGTTCCAACATTTAGAAAGGCAATGAGGTTTGGAGAGGTAAAAGAGCCCCCCAGGGTTTCCCAGGTACTCAAACCCAAGATCTGCCAACGTCGGCACAGAGCTTCTCAGCACGTCCCCCGGGAAGTGACGCAGCTTGGCTGTTGGGTGAGAAGACATGCCCGCTCACAACTCCAGCAGCCCAGAGGAGCTCCTTGAGGGCTATTAAAGGAAGTGGGGGATTGCCTTCTGGATGGGCCTTTGGCCTCTATTTAGACACTCTGGACGGGTCAGCCATGTTTTTACTTGTTTTACACATGGACTTTCTCTCAAGGGCTCGTGGTTCACAGTTGAAACTCACCAAAACTGGCAGAAGACATTTGTCTTGAACGGATATAGAAACAAGCCAGACCATGACTGAGAGAGGACAGGAGGGTGGGTGTGGAGATAGAAGCAGCCACGTTTCACAAGAGCCGAGGTAGAGGAGTTAGCAAAGCCCAGAACATTTTTTTCTAAACAATAAAATGTATTTCATTGGGAGGACACTAAATGCGAGAACTGAATTTGTAAGAATTTCCTCATTTGCTTCAAATCATGTCTTTGTTGATCTATTTATTTATTGGTTTGTTTGTTGTGGTTGGGGCGAAAGTTTAGAGTCCGTTGGTTTTCCATTCCATAATGCATACACATTTCGTATTGAGAAATTGAGAAATCACTGCACCTTGGATGGGCATGCACAGCTTTGAAGAACCCCGTTGCTGCTCATCCAAGTGGGGTGTTGAACATGGTCTCCATTGACTCTCTTTGGCCATGTGACTTGGTGACTATGATCCTGAGCCCCCCAAGCTCAGGGACTCATCCCCAGAGAAGTTTTCAAAGCTGAGTAAAATGGTGTGCGGTATGTGATAGTGGGTAGGGAAGAGGGGCCTTGGGACAAGGGAGGGGCGTACGTTTGTACCAGAGAGAACTTGAGAGCCTGGGAGCCATTCATTGCAGGAGGGAGAGGATGGGGCTGGGGCTCTGGGACTACAGGGCTGTGTTTTGCTCTGCGGGTGGGTTGCATGGACTTAGTGGGGCAGGGGCAGAGGGCAGGGAGGACCAGATTCCTGAACTTGGACACCTCCAAACAAGACTTGGGAAGACCCACTTCCTGGACATGGCCTTTCTTCCCAGGGTCTTTTTGGATAGCCCTCACCGCCCCCTGGCCGATTATTTCAGGTGATAC